AAGGCTCCTGATAGCACCGAGAGCCCAGGTCAAAGGCTGCCTGGGGTCTCTTTCTTAGGCTGAGCCTTTTTCTCTTCTCCCGCAGGCCTTTCTCTGGAGGCTTCAGCGCCAGGCTCAAATCTCCCGGGTCTGGCTACGGCGGCCTCTTTCGTGCCCAGCGCTTTGAGGTCTACCAGCAGGTGAGGCTGCCTTCTGGGGCTAACTAAGTGGACGGATAAGATGGCAGCCCAGACCAATCTTAACCTTTAACCAACTTCTCCTCTTTTCCTTCTGCTCCTCTTCTTGCCCTGGCAGTCAGATGTTCTTCGGTGGAACCCCCGCTGCTGGGAACGGGCGCCTCAACCCCGGGATGGAGCTCCTGTCCGCCGCCTTGAGCCGGACACCCGTTCCCACACCGACAAGCAAGACCCCAATCTCTCCGGACACCACTAGCCCAGAATACTTCTCCCTCCCCTTTGGATTTGGTTTTGACATCCTCTCCTCAGAATGATTTTTTTGGTGGGGGAGGGGAAGGGCTCTTTGCTGGGGCTCCTCCCTCCTCTCGGTTGATGTATCCTAAAGATGGGGGTGTCTCCTTAACTCCTTTTCTGTTTATGTGGGGAGGGGGCACACTGCATTTGTCCCCTCTGTTAGGGGTGTTTAGACTCTTAGTGGGATACTCGGAGTGTAATTTGGGGGGGGCAAGGATCAGGATTTGGGGAGGCTCCCAGCTGAATGTATTTTTGCTTATTTCCTTTGGTTTCACCTGAGTTTATATTTTTCTGGGAGGGGCTGCGTTGCCTCTTGATCCGAAGGGGGGAGGGAGCTGCTCTAAAGTGTGGAGTGTAAATATATATAAATATGAACATGTGAGGTCTTGCCTCTCCCCTCTTCTATTTATGGGAGTAGGGGGAGGCGTGCCTGGGAGCCTGCCTCCTCTCCTGTCTGTCTGCTCCCCTGAGTTTGAAATAGGAAGCGTTGAGTTTTTAAAAAGGTGGTCGAGCTGGTTTGTTTAATAAATAAAACCAAAAAAAAAAGTTGTTTAAAAAAAACCAATAAAATAAAAAGATCAATCTGTTGAGTTCCCCCTGTCGTTAATGTTTACTGATAAGACCTGAATTTCATTCTAAAATCCATTGAGAATACCTCTAGTTAAAGTTCTGCGTGAAAATGACCTGCGGTGTTTACTCACAGTTTATTGCCTGAAATCAACCTGACATGCAGTAAATTGAGAAGTAAGTCTTAGCAGGATTAGAGTAGCGATTAGCAAATAGCAATTAGACTTACATGCCGCTTCATGGTGCTTTACAGCCAGTCTCTTGAGTGGTTTACAGAATCAGCCTATTGTCTCCAACAGTCTGGGTCCTCATTTTACCCACCTCAGAAGGATGGAAGGCCGAGTCAACCTTGAACCAGTCAGAATCGAACTGCTGGCAGTCGGCAGAGTTAGCCTGCAATACTGCATTCTAATCACTGAGCAACTGCATTCTAATCACTGAGCCACCATGGCTCTGTAAGGCACTTGTTCCATAAAATTACAAAGATGCATTAGAACAAGTAGGACAGAAACATCACAATTTAAGTGTGAAGATCTATCCAAGAAGCTGAAGAATCTTAGGGTAGGGTGTCGAGTGGCATTTTCCTCCATTCTGGTCCACAGAAGCTCTCTGGGAAGGGACAGAAGACGACTACGGAGGAATGATTAGCAATAGGAAATATTTTTTTTCTTGGACTCTCTTCTAAACTAACGGTGTTACTGAAATAAAACCTCAATTGTGCCATCAACCACATAGACTTTTTTTCAGAATGATCTGTTCCCAGATTCATTCTGCTTGATTTCTGCAAATTCAAACGCCAGGGTTTTTTTTTCTTCCATAGTGTGTCACACGGAAAAGGTACAGACACATCCAAAGCACTTGAATATATTTTTTCCAAGACTAGTACGACCTTCCGTATTTCTTCCGTTGTTGTTGACGGTTGATTCTAAAAGGCAGAAGCTTTCGCCCCCACTTCAGTATCTCCTCTTGTCAATTCCAAGTCTGGTTCCTCTACCCAGCGCCATCAATTTGGTCGTCTTTATATTTAATTGCCGTAGTTCAATTTTATGTTATAAAAGCATGTGACACCCGAGTCCCAGAAAAATCTGCAATTTGCAAGTTTAAGAATGTTTTTAAAATATCAACACAAGTACAAATATGGCAGAGAAAGCAATTTGGTTGGGAAGAGGAAAGAAAGAAAAAAGGCATCGGTCATCCTTGCCAAAAGCTTGAGCAAAGAGACACATCTTCAGGATCCTTCAAAATCCAAGAATGGAAGCTGTCTGAATCTTGGGTGGGTGGGTGGGTGGGTGGGTGAGAGGGTACCTCATTCCAGAGGGCGAATGGTGCTACACTGATGTACCTTGTGGTCCAAAAGATGAAATTATTCAATCAATGGAACCCACAAACCCTGCCAGGTAAAACTGTGTGGGCCGATACAATGGGAAATAGGTAGTCCCTCTAAAGTTGGGCTCCATGAGGGCTTTGTAGGCAGTGACCAGCACTTTGAATCACATCTAAAACCAAATTTGCAATCAGTTTAGCTTGTGATGCAGAGCTGTCGTGAGGGCATACTGAGGCATGCCCATAACTACCGTAACTACAACTGCAGTCTACATCAGCTGAAGCTTCTGAATAGTCTTCAAGGGCAGCCCCACATAAGAGCTCATTACAGTAGTCAAGCCACTGATGGGCAGTCCCAAGCACCTACAGCTACTTGGTGTTGAGCTGGAGAAAGGTGTTCTCCATGCAAACAACAGCAGCCTAATCAAGGAACTAATAACACTCCCGCCAACACTGACGGGCCAAGACATGTCTAGATAAACTAAGCAAACTTCATTCCTAGCAGTGATGATGTTACATAGATGGGTAAGGAAATAAGTTCAGAAATCCCCAACAACCTCAAAAGTTTCTAAATTTCAACAGTTTTGCAGACCAACTGCAGTGAAAACGTAGCCCCAAATCCACCCGTCTAGCCAATTTCTTACTAAATTCAGTGTCTGAAAACATTCCCCTCTCCACTTGAGTCTGAAAGCTGCTTCTTGATCTTATAGTGCTACCTGGACACACACCATCCCCAAACACCTTGCACTGTTAATTGTCTATGGAGAATCCTGTGTCATCAAAGGTCACGGTTGTCTCAGAGATGCTTTTATCAAAAGGCAACTGGACTCTTTTTTTCCCTTGAAGATGTTACGCTTCTCATCCCAAGAAGCTTCATCAGTTCTGAACTGATGAAGCTTTTTGAGATGAGAAGCGAAACCTATTCTTGCTCAAGGAAAAAAGTGTGCAACGCGCTCTACGTGGGGCTGCCCTTGAAGAGCATCCGGAAGCTCCAGTTGGTGCAAAATGCAGCAGCCCACATAGTTGTGTGCACATGTATCGCCTCTCCTACGGGAGCTGCATTAGCTGCCGATTTTGCTTCCAGGTGCAATTCAAGGTGCTGGTTGTCACTTTTAAAGCCCTTCATGGCTTGGGACCAGATTATCTGAGGGACTGTCTCTTGCCGGTCACATCTACCCAACCCACCAGATTGGGTAGCTAGGGAATGTTGCAAGTCCTATCCCCTAGGGAGATACACCTGGTGGGACCCAGAAGGGCCTTCTGCATGGTGGCTCCCTCTCTATGGAACTGTTGTGGTTCACCGGCGGCCAGCAAAGCTGGCAGCAAATTCTGGCAGTGAGGAGGCTGGGGAGAAATGTGGGCCAATCCTGGAGTTGGGGGAAGGCTTGGACGAGGGCTCTGCGTCGGAGGCAGAGAGGGGGCCAGGGCCATCTGATGGTTATGTGCTACCTCCGGAATCTGACATCAGCGAGGCAGAACAGGGGGAGCCTGTTCCCAATGCGTGCACGCAGAGAGCTGCCAGGAGGCAAGAACGATTAAGACAAAAGGGGCGACTCGGGAGTAAGGCTTGGAGATGATCGGCCCCTCCCATAAAACAGAGTAGCAAAAAGCTCCTTTTTGACTCTGCTCTGTTCTTGCAAAACTAATTGGCAATTAGGTCTCTGGCAGCATTTCAAGGGAGATAAAGATGGGTGTTTATCAGCATTACTTTGAAAGAATGTGGCAGACATCTGGTGGACTTCACAGAATGTTTGGGAATTATTACGGGCTGTGAACCATTCACAGCCGTTTAAATAAGGATTTTTTGGGACTAAGTTTGTGATTTAAGCTTTCTCAGGGAGCCTAGGTCAGAACAGGAACATCATCCCCCCCCCAGAAATTAGAGTGGCCCCCCCCACTCTAACACTCTTCTGGAAGGTGCCGAAAACCTGGTTCTGCCAGCAGGCCTGGGGAACCCAGAGCAGGATGGAGCCCATTAAATGGCTCGTGTGAGGTGCTGTCGCCAAGGTGGGGGGGGGGGGGTGATTTTATTGAATTAATTTATGACTCTTACTAGTTTTACTGTGCTATATGAAGTTTTATATTCTGTAAGCCACTTACAGTTGCTATGGGCGACTAGGCGGCAATATAAAATCCCCAAATAAAATAATAAAATAGTTCCAGTTAGTTGCCTTTTGAAAAAGCACCTCTGAGGCAGGGGTGAAATCCAGCAGGTTCTAGAGAACTGGTAGCGGAAATTTTGAGCAGTTCGGAGAACCGGCAAATACTCTGGCTGGCCCCCGAGTGAGGTGGGAATGGAGATTTTGCAGTATCCTTCCCCCAGGAGTGGGAAGGGAATGGAGATTTTGCAGTATCCTTCCCCTGCCACGCCCACCAAGCCACACCACGCCCACAGAACCGGTAGTAAAACAATTTGGATATCACCACTGCTCTGAGGCACCTAGCATGGTTTTAATGCTGAACAGTGTTATCATATTTCACTCAACGAAAGCCGAAGCCCGTTGTGCTTCCCAAGAAAAGGGCTGGCTGTGTGAACCTGCTTGGCAAAAATAACTCAAGACAATTAAAAGGCGCCTACGAAGTATGAAATCCGCAATTGATTGTGAAGGGGTGGGTGGCAGAGAAAGAAACGCAACTGAATCCTGGACATGTGGTTTTCCTTTATTGATTTTGGCAGCAGCTTGGACACTCCACGGGGAGGGGGGGGGAGAAAAGTCACTGCAACCATGGGGGAAAATAAATGGAATTTAAATATTTGGCCTGAGAAAGGAGTGGGGTGTCTGCATCACGCGCATGTGGACAGCGAGGCCAGCTTTGATGAACAGGCCTCGGCCTCAGGCGCTTCCGGCCAGCCTCTCTTAGGAGTCTTCAGCCACAAAGGCCTGCTGGGCACTGGGAAAGCGCTGAGGAGTGAAGCTGGGATCGGACTGAAGTCTCTCCTGCAGATCGGATTTCAACTGGAAAAAGGCGGGAAGAAAGCAAGAGCGTCAATTAGCAATAGCCACTTAAGATATCTCGCTCTCTGTGGGCACACTGAGAATATATCCGCTGAACAAAACTCCGCATTGGCGAGAGGAAGGGCATCCGGCCATTAAAACACTCTGCTAGCTCCATTCAGTTGCCCGGACTCCACCCCGCAAGGGATTATGGGGGTCATTAAATGATGATGATGATGATGATGATGATTTCTTATATACCACTTAATAGTGCTTTACAGCCCTCTCTAAGCGGTTTACAGAGTCAGCATATGGCCCCCAGCAATCTGGGTCCTCATTTTTCCGACCTCAAAAGGATGGAAGGCTGAGTCAACCTTGAGCCGGTCAGGATCGAACTCCTGGCAGTGGGCAGTCAGCCTGCAATACTGCATTCTAACCACTGCGCCACCCCACGGCTCTTCACGGCAATTACCTCTTCCTGTAAGAAAGCACCTCTGGTACCTGCCATTGCACCCTCTGTCCCACAGTCAAGGAATAGTTCCCACCTGCTGCTGGTATCCATCTTGCAAGGCCGGATCAGCAAGGTCTCGGTTCAGGCTTTCGGCGCTCGTCAAAGGTTTTACTCCGACCACTCTCGCGGCTTTGTTGACAGCCTCTGACAGGAGCAATGGGGGGCCATCACCCTGCATTGTCTGCAAAGTTTTTTTAAAAACATGTAAGCATTAGCCATAGATATAGATAGACAGACAGACAAGATAGATAGATGATAGACAGACAGACAAGATAGATAGAGACAAGATAGATGATAGATAGATAGATAGACAGACAGATAGATGATAGATAGATAGATAAATAGACAGACAAGATAGCTAGATATAGATAGGTAGGTAGGTAGGTAGGTAGGTAGGTAGGTAGGTAGGTAGGTAGGTAG